CAAACAATTGCAATAAATTTTACACATCAACTGACTTTCGATCCGTTGTACGGAGGTTGAGGGAACTTTAACTTAACTAAAAAAGCTGAACAATTTTATCTTTTTTTTAATGACCGTAAACGTCATTTAAGGCCTTATTAAGCTTATATGTGACGACGCGTGTTTGGATGTGATGTAATTTAATGCTACCGTTACATAATATGACAACGGTTCGTATAACAGCCTGTGATACGAATGTAAGTGAAAACTTACGAAGTCGAAGTAAATTTGAAAATCATAAAATTTACACTTTTTTAAAGGTATTATTATTTAGCAAGGCATACCCAAGGTGAACATACACCCTAATATTCCTGTCACCGTGTTTAGGTATAACGTTTTCTAAGGTGATGTCAAAGTGAGCAAACGATTAGAAAAATAATTAAATAAATCTATGTTGGCATAAGGCACATAGGGTTATCGTGTTGAAAGTAAAATGATTTTTACGTCTCAAAAAGGTTGGAGCGACCTCAAGTACTTTTGAACTATATTCGGCAAAAAAGTAATGACCTGAATAATTCCTATCACGTGATAATAATAAAAATAAATAATTCTCATGTTACCTGAAATAATTCTTTAGTCACAAACACATCCTATATAACACGACATATAATTGAGTAGCGTAAGTAATTACTGTGTATACACACTGTGTCACACTTCCAATTTAAAATTTCATAATAATTCGAAAACTTTGCTAATCACAAACGCAAAGCACAATTTCAGTGTTCGATGCCAACGTTCATTTACTTCTCATACAAATATCTTTTAATCGGATCGAATGACTTGACATTTATTAGTGATTATTAAATTGAAATTTTCCTCTTTTTATGCCCATCGCCGAAAGAAGCATCATAGACCCCACAAATGTATATTCGTGATCGACATCAAATTCTGAATCGATTTAAGCATCTCCGTCTGCCCGTCTGCCCGTCTGGCCATCAGTCCGTTTATGTAATGTCTGTTGTAAACATTCTTCAGGCCACAAGAATGAAGCGAAAACAAAGTATATAAATTCCTGGCCAAGTCAAGGTCAAGTTGAGAGTCCACCTAAGCATCTCCATCCGTTCAACTTTTCGTCCGAGTAAGGGTGTAGTGTCTACTTGTAAACATTCTCGCAATCGCAAAAATTAAGCTGCAGCCTGCAAGCTTGCAAAAGAATTTAAGAATTACCCAAACTTTTTAAAGGATACGCCTACAATGCCCGCACGCCTATATAAAAAAAAATGTAGGCGTTTATTTGCTTATTGCGCATAAAGTGCTCGTGACTCACAAATTATCGAAACTGAACTTTTCTGCATTTACTTTACGGAAAACTCTATTATTTATGGGCAAAAGTGGAACAAACCGCCCATGACCGCACAATATAACATAGATGATTAGATGTCCTTTTTATCCTTTTTTTTTTTAAAGTTTCCTGCCTATTACTTATAAGGTAAACAAGTCGGAGCGCAGTGCTGTGGAGAACTAATTTTAATCTTAACTATACTATCGATATGAATACCCACTAAGAGGCCTTGGAGAGTGAAAGGCGATAAAGAAAGCATATTTATTCTAAATTAATTAAGGCGATTGTCAAGACATGGTGGATTTAGTGAGCTGGAAATGATGGAAGATAAATTCGAACCCATTCACTAAAGAGTGTCAAAGTACGATTACCACAAATAAAAGTATGGAGCGCTAAAGATTTTAATGACGTGAGATTTGGCTCCAGCCGAATACAACTCTCTTACTCTCTTACGTTCGTTTTTTTTTTTTTTTGTTTTATTATTTACATTGCTTAGCAATTGCACGTAGATAGGTGTTTAGGGATGGAATAGAGAGGACGGGTGTTTATGCACCAATCCAGCTATTCATCTCAATTCTTGCTTGAGCTTGAGAATTTTTGATAAACGCATGCATACGCATACTGTCGATGGCCAAGCCAATATGAAATCGTATAAACTGACTAAGAATCTACGCACTCAATAACGTGTCCGATGTCAACCTCACTTTCAATTGACAGCTACAAAAAAAGTATGTTTACAAAAAAAAAGTCTTTGAAAATTTCTATTACAACAAAACACAATAATTGATATCTTAAAACTTCAATCATTTAATGATTATATATAATTAACCATATCTCAATTAATTATTTGCTTGATCGAACAAACTAAAGTAAATGTACATATTTGGTATAGCGAAGAGTGCGCATGTAAGGCGATAGTTGACTTTTGTTTTGTTAGTGGCGTTTTATTTTCCTTTTCTTTTTTTTTTTTTTTTTTTGTTTATTTTTTATTGTTAATTTTATAACAACTGAATCAACCGAACGCTAAGTGCATGAAAACAAAATGAAAAATAGCTAATAGTATGATGAATAAGAATTGTTGATGGAAACGAAAACGTTGAAATATCAACAAACAGATAATCGTAATAATGGTGAAGTGATGTTAACAGTTGTTTTTATTCTTCTTCTGCTTCTTCTTTTTAATTTTTTTTGTGGTGAACCTATGAAGTGGCAAAATTAAATAACATACTATGTATGCATGCTATTGTAGTATGTTTACATATATATGCATACAAATATGTGTCTATGTTATATTGTATAAACATATATATACATACATGTATATGCATATAAATATATATATATATATATATATATATAGATGGATGATGGCATGGGTTTGAAATGAAAGAAATATCGTTGATTGTTTCTGGTTTCTTTTCTTTATTGTTTATTGTTGCTTTTTTGTATTTGTTTTCTTTTTTTTTTTCTTTTTTTTTTATCTCCCCCCTGTCTCTCTCTGTCTCTCTCTATCAATCTGTCTCTATTTCTCCAATTCTCTTTCTCCCTTCCTCGCGTTAGAGCATTACGATGATTAAGAAAAAGTGAAAACAACAGAAACCTAAGTAAAAATAAAAACATTTATTAGCCAAGTCGAGTATGGTAAATGCAATCTTTTAAACGACTAACTACCATTCGGATACAAAACAATACTATAGAAAATGTCAAATCCATACAGATCTGTTGTGTTTTGTGCATGTTTTATATATTATTGTGTGTGGAAGTTGTGCTGTTGTTGATAAAGTATTTTACACATAAATTACTTTTCTTTTTCTTTTACTTTTTTTTTTATTTATTTTTTTATTTTTCATTTTTTTTTTTTTTTTTTTTGCAAAACCATTTGTTTTGTTTCTTAAGCTGCCAAGCTGAGAAGAGTGGGCACATTTTTCTTCTCTGTTGAATATATCGTTAAACGGTATATAAAAGGAAAATGAAGATGATGGCAGAGTCACATCCAATTGTACTCTTTCACCCAGACATTGTAGTAAAAATGGTAAAGAGAAATAAATATTTCAAATTATTCAAAAAGATTTTCGTAGGTCAGTCACCCACAATGCAGCAACGTAGTCAAGATATTAGATGCGAAAGCGTTTTGAAATTATACCAAGGGTATATATATATATATATATATATATATATATATACGTAAAACTAAATTGAAATCTTTTTTTTAGTCCGAAATTATGACATACATTTCCAAAAACATATGAAATATATTATTCCATCCAGAAACTGTTTATATATTTTCCGTTTTGATATATAAAAATTCCTTTTTCTGGAGGATTCGACATGCATATGATTGATTGATATATTTATTTCATTAAGTTGCACACAACATAAAGAAATATATTTAAAATATTGCATTAAATGTTGCATTTGTCCGAAAATATGATATACATATTTATTTATTTTTAAATGCACACATATTGAGTACGTACAAAAATTGTAAATTAACAGAGACATGACTAAGTCCTCTCAGAGCTCTTTTAGGCTAAAACTAAATCTGAAATTAGTAAATATTTCCCTTCTTGCCCTAACAATGTGAGCAGTTTCATCTGCCGACAGCTTTTGCCATGTTGCTGTCCTCAAAATGCATCCAGCGGACACGCGATATTGTCTTAATATGTTAAAAAGCCTCACTTTATTTTCGATGTCCACAGGATTTCTATTTTATTCATTTGTTTATAAGTTCTCTAGTTAGTTGTTGTCCGGCAACGAGAAAAAAAGGGATTCCACATTATAATCTTAGCATTTTTTTTTTGTTTTTTTTTTTTGAGAAAATGATTCTTAATTTATTACTTTTGCCGTAGAAATGTAATTAACAAACAAGTGACCCGAACCGGGCTTTGAATATAACCTTCCACATAACTTAATTAGAACGCTTGAGAAACGCACCACAAGGAAGATTTGTAAATAGTTTGTATTGTTCTGGTCGGCGATCTGCCCAACTGAAAACTTTCACGCAAACACATGTTTGTTTGTTAAGTTGTGATCAAAACAGTTGCAAATCTCTTTTACTTTTTAAGACTCCAAGTAGCGTTAGTTATGTAGACTTCACCGTCGGGTTTATTTAAAATTTTATGATCGTTTTTACACATCATTATTTATTTCAGTTCAAATCAATTTATTTTCTAAGCCGATTATTTTAAACAATTGTCTATAAACTTACCATTTTTTTTTTTCTCTTAATGGAATAAAAACCATCGGTAACAGTATTAACAACAACAAACACTTGTTAACACTATCATTTTCATGCTAAAAACGTTTAACACATACAAAATAACAACAATGAAACACATAGTTGGCTTTCAATGAAGTCTCCCGCCGCAAAACTCTTCGCACACATTCGCTGCTGCTGCTTAGCATGCAAACACGCAAGCGTGCTGCCTTTGCTGATGACACACCATTTGAATCTTCGAAGATCATGCAATTGTAGGACTTTACTGTTTGCTTGCAGTTGTTTTCATACCCACATCATCTATTTTTTATGGCTTAGGCGCCACAGCTGAGAGTTTTCTCACATGTTAAACGGTAAACTATGCTCACCTATGCAGTCTCTTGAAAACAAAAAAAAAAAAAAAAAAGACAAGAAAAAAAATGCAATTTCATTTTTAAACTAGCAGCGCGCACAAGCAACATTTTAATACATAATTGACTTTCAACGTGCGCGGTAGCCAAACAATAGCATCTAGTTAGCGCAAATATACTTTCTTTAAATGTTCATATAAAATATTCGAAAAAAAAAATAAAAAAAAATATTTTCAAAAAATAACGAAAATTTTCTTCATTTTAAGCTATGTCCTGTCGTTGCAATTTCGGTTTACTTTCGTTGTTATTTTTGCAAATTATCACTTTAACCGTTAGTCGTTGGTACAACAACGGCTTAATATTCTACGATCTGGATACACGACATATATTTTTGCCACCTACTGTTTCGGTATCGCGTGGTCGTAGTTTAGCGAATGCACCGTACTCCGCTAAAGGCTCAATTTGGTCAACATTTGGGAAACCCTGTCAATGTTCGCAAACGTTATGCGGCTGTTGCGCTGGTGTTACAGTAAAACGATATAATTTCGATCAAAAAAGTAGGTGATTTATAAAATATTCTTCTTTTTTTTAGTTAAAAAAATGAAGAGCAATCCAAAAAATAAAATAAAAATATAAATATAAATAAACGCACGCAAGTTCATTTCATTTCAATGCCTGCAATGCCAATGATAATTTCTTAAAATATTTTATAAGCGAAATGCTGGCGACTATAAGTCGATTAATAAACTCAATTATGAATAAGTTGAGTGTTTACATATATTCGATGAATGAAATAAAAAATTGTGCAAATATATATATATATATATATATATATGTATATTGTTTAATAATATTTATGTTATTAAGAAACAAAGAAAAAAATAGAAGGAAAGAAATCGCTTTATTATATTCGCTTAAGGGCTAATTTGTGATAAACCCGGTTCCCGAAGCGAATTAATAATTGCACAATGGCTTTAATAAGTACGTGAATCAAATTTTCGACAGACTTATAAGCTGGTGATCGAAAACTTTTAAAACCCTCGCTCTTTAATTTTTCATCATTTTTTCTATGTTCCTGTATCTGTAAGTTCACGTATCGGTCAGTCATCTTTTAAAACTTGGTTGGTCGATGCTTATGATCTACTAATAAGTGGATCAAGTTGAAGGCTTTTACTTTTGTTTTGCCGACTGCAATGACATGTCAAAGATATGACTAAATCGATTCAGAATCTTGTGGTAGTTAAGGATATCGACGCTTTACAAACACCCTGGATCCGATTAGTACATGCTGCAGACTTAAGTACACATCTGAATGACACTTCCCTGGGATGAGGCGGTTAACATATGGGCTCGGCCCCCCTATGAGAACAACTTATTACAGCGAACTGAAAATAGTGTCTGTACGAAACAAGTAAAAAATAAATTCTTCCTCTAAGAGAAATTTTTCGTTTACGCCTGGGGCTGTGCCGCCACACACCATGAGTCATTTTTTGCCAAAAATTTAATAAAAAGGAAATTAAAGTCATGACAGTTTTCCAAAATTTTGCAAATTTTCCTTATCATCAGATCATATTCAATAATTTGCTTAATTGGCTTAGGGTTCTTCTTTAGACTGGGACCTACAAATTTGTTCACAAATATCATCATATCGTCCTAAGGGTTCATCTTCAACTATAAAATAAGAGCAATTATTCTCGGCGGGTAATATATGTAAATAGACACTTATGAAAGGTTGTTATCGTGGCACGTGCTTGGAAATTGAATTAAACTACGATTCGGAAACACTCATTAACCTTTTCTTTTCAACCGTGGACTATTGCGATCTTACTTTGACGGTTCCATTCTCAATTTGGCTACTCACAAACGATTATATAAAAGCGGTAATCCATTTTGTACCTGCCAACATCCAGAGATCCTGTCACCTACGTATACCCTTGATCAATGTCAAATTCTGAGTCCATTTAAACCCGTTGGTGTGTCCGCCTGTTCGTTTGTGTGACGCGTATATAGAACATTATCTCGATAGCATCGCCTCCAAACTGGAAGTTCTTACACGCGAATTGGTATTGAAAACGAGAATACGGACCGTTACTAATTTCTGCATGTTATGACTTGACGACTTTCGCCAGAGTGCAAAACATATGTAGAGCAACAGATGCATTGATGTACATGCATATCTTATGCATATTTAATCAAGAATACCTTATAAGTTCTTTAGCTTAGTAGTCTCTGACTTATGTTTTTGAATATTAAAAATTGGAAGTACGCACTTAATTGGCCCTCACCCTTCGACAGTCTACAAGGCTAAATATAAAGTCTCGATATTTAGCATGTTATACAGCCCTTAGCTTTGCCTTTGAGTTTGAATTGACTCTAAAAGTTATTAAAATCGAATATTGGATTGACACGTTCAATCAAGATCCCACGAAAATGACAGGATAGGGTCAGACTAATGGAATACATATTAATGCCGCCCTAAACCCAATGCTACCTTTTAACGTATAGAGGAAGTGATGGACAACCTCTCTCCTTTGGCGGGGTCAGCGTAAAAGAATCGACATACGTTGAAGTTCTAGGCGTGAAAATACAAAGGGATGTTAGTCAGGCAGAACAGATATTCAAAGGGTCGAAAGACGAAGTCCGGGGCTTAGGTTTCTCAAAACGATGCAACAAATTCTTGACTACGGCCTATATCCGGCCGAAATGAGAGTGTCACTCCAAATCTTGCTAGGCGACGCTCGGCCATATACAGCGAAAAGTGCAAGCAGTCGGGAAAAAAAACTGTGTGTCCAAAATTCTCGAGCACCGGCGTTACGTGGACTGGATGATGCTTTCGTATAAGTACATCCAGGGCAAGTGTTCTACAGAGATAAAAAAAGGCATTTCCGCCAACTAAGTCCTACACGACGAGGACTATACGATGTTTTATTACTCCCACCCACTTGTCCTCCCATAATTATATACTACATAACTAACTATCACGACTCATAGTTTTGTAACCGTTCTGCCTGCTTCGGGAACAACCCAGCAGTGGGTGTTCCCACATTTCTTGATGTTCCCGGCCTTTAAGTCAAACGTACGCAAGCACTACTCCCTGTTTTCATCCTCCTCTACCTATAACCTTTCCTGACCGCCATCGTGCTCGCACGCATACGGGACATCGACTGTGAATGAGTTAAAACAAAAGCAAATATATATATTTCTATACATATATATATATATATATGTGTGTGCATATACTAAAATCAAAATAACAAAGACTTTGTGATGTGTCTGGTAATGGCTTCTCCAAGCATTTACCTATCTTTTGACATTTGTCTATAACTTACCTAATTGGATTAGTTTACGTAGCGTTCTCAGCGCTAGCAACAAGGCAAAACGTTGCAGTGTGTGGATGTGTTATTCTATAGATCAAGACCAAGAGAAACATTCGCAATAAAAATGCTGGGAAAAATTTTCCGAAAACAAAACTAATCGTATAACAAACAATCTCTAGAAAACTACTATAAAAATGGAATGGAGAAAAAAAGGAAGAAGCATTCTTAAGAGCGGCAATTTCGGGTCCACAATTCGCAAGACATACACGCATTATTGAATTTATTATGATTATCATAAATCAATTATTACGTAAGCATTTAACCGTGAAAAGGCTGTGCGAATGGGATAAAATTATTCCGTTACATTCCTCGCAAAAATAACGAGCAAATTATATTCGGCAGGAGCCGAACACTGTGTACCTAGAACCACCTTCGTATGAATATGGAAAATGCCAATCTTTATTGATGCAGCTTATGATGAGCAACGAGGAAAATATTAATTTTTTTTGCTTTCAAAAGCAGCGGTAGTCTCACTTGACATTGTACTAAAGGCAGGACCCTTGCCCGGTTTAACTGATTTTCAGTATAACTTCAACGTATAGCGACATCTAATATTGTTGCGGAATTTGAACCAAATATCTTCATTTTAGAGATCAGGAGGTTGTTCACCGCAGTCATCACACACACACAGATTGGCAGACGGGCAGACGGGCAGACGGCCACGAAATGATCAATAACTTAATGTAGTTTGCAGAGACTCCGGAGTTTCTTTCGGGCCGCTATAAACGTTTTGACCAAAAAATGAAATTTTGACACGGAATAACTTGAGTAGGCGTGAATGATTTTTTTTCCTTTTACATGTAAGCTAGAGGATCAGTTATAAAGTATACGTGCGACTAAAAGAGACGAAATTGTGTTTTTTGTTTTTGCAAATACGTGATTTTTTCAGTTTACTTTCTCCTGCAGACATACGCCTTCATCGTATTTTCAATGCCGACCTGAGTGTACGGTGTACGGTCTTTCAATATCCGTACCCAATTTGAAGATCATATCTTAATTTTTGCGATCAGAAGAATGCTTTTCGTAGACATTACACAGGTGTGGATAGACGAACAGGTTTACATGGATTCAAAATTTGAGACAAATGTTGTAACCAAGCAAAAAAAAAAAAAAAATCGCCGTCCGTCGGTAATAAGTATAAAAAGAGTGAAATCTATGGAGACGAATAGGAAGCATTGCAACTCGTCGATCCAGAGTGATGACTTCTTACTATCAATGTTTCGTATCGATTGATCATTATTATATATAATTATTGATTGATCATTGTTATTATATCAATGTTTCGTATTGATTGATCATTGTAATGATTTCTTAAATCTAAGGAATGAATGAAAACATGATACGGCATACGGCAAAAGTTGATTGCAGTCCTCAACATATATATTTTACAAATACATACGTATACACACGATATACGATATTGAATAAATTGTAGAAAAATTGCTTACAGCGTATGCAAAATTTGCAATAAATATCGATGGCAGAAACAACAAACGCGTATCGTTCAAGTTAATGAGCCATCACTACGTAGTAGTAATTAAATCAAAATTTCTATTAATTTTATTAGAAAACCAATGCACTACATTCTGCAATAGTTTATCTATATATGTCTTTTTTCGCACATACACACACCCGAATAGGAATGCGAATACGGTTATATCTCTTTGCTGACGGCAATGGCAAATGCGCTACGGGCAAAACGAAAAGCATATTATATATGAGTAAAAATGTAATTCAAATTGTTAAAAGACAGACAGACAGATACCATCAACTAATTATACCACATTTGAAAATTAGCATGATGTGAATGAATGAATGAATGAATGACTGACTGGCTGGAATGAATGAAAGTCCAATAACTTTAAACATTATTTGAATAATTGTGACGACAGTTGTAATTATGCTTGCAAAGAATGTGTTTGTGTGCGTGTGTATTTAAATATATAATTTGAATGTATTATAATTTTTTTTTTTTTTTTTATAGTTTTCTTCTTCTTTCTTTCATTTTTTTTTTTTTTTTAAAAATAAATGAATAATTTTTTCCCTAGGATTTGATGTGAGATGCTAATTAGATTGTGTTGATGGTTTTGCATATAAAATTTTCTCTTTTTATTTTTATTATAATTATTAAAATTTTTTTTTGCAAAATTTATTTATTTATTTATCATTCATTTTATCTTGCCATTTATTTATAGTATGTGCGAATGTCACCTATGCGAAAGGAAACGATGAAATACAATTGGAGATGTTGTTAAATGAAAATCCATCAGCCAAATACGGTATAGCGGTACGAAATCCATCGCCTTTTTGCATACCTTTAATGCTTAATATACCGTTAGCCATGTGCGTACAAATGTCAAATATAGGAGTGATGGGTAATAATTTAAATATGTGCATGGACTGGATGGTGGGTATGGGTTCAACACAATTAATTGAAATGCATTTCCAGTGCATGCAAGTAGGTCAACAAGGCCTACAGTGGGTGGGAACAAGCGGTAAACCGGTTATACCGCCCGGTCAAAATAAAAAACAAATAAAATATAGTACGGAATCTTCAGAATATTATAATGAGTCTGAGGAAAATGAAATTGAAATATATCATGAAGAGGATGCGAGCTTAAGCGGTGGCGAAATAATAGATGATACGGATTTAAAGGAAACAAAGATAGAAAATAATTCAAATGAAATGAAAAGTGAAAAAATTGCAAATAATTGGGAAACGGACGATACGACAGTGGAAAGATTTGAAATGCTTACCGCAACAGATGGCCAAAATGAAAGTGAAATGATTAACTCAAATGCAAGCCGATTGGACGGTGTTGAACTTCACCATAGTAACGAAAAAATGATTACAATCATCAAACCGAAAATAACAACAACAACAATATTATCAACGAGAAAAAAGGCTACACAACCAACACTATTAGTGGAATTGATTGGTATGTATGTATACTAATAATGCTTTAAAAAGCAACCGCCAGCATATTATGCAGCCTCAATGGCAAGGCGCAAAAACAATAACAATAATACTATATAATACAATAATAACAACAACAATAAGAATAACAATAACCGAAGCTTATGTTAATATTACAGGTAATGATAGCGATAATAGTTCAAGTAATAGTAGTGATTATGACAATAGTGACTCTACGATAAACAAGGCAAACAACGATGTGGACCGTGCAAATGACAAAGGAAAAGAAGATGAAAGTGTCGATGATGGTAGTGATGATGACGATGATGATAGTGAAGATGAAGATGACAGTGATAGTAACGAATCGCCGGCAGCTGATGAATGCAATAGTGATGGCGACAGCAGTAACGACGATGAATATGAAGATTATGAAGAAAGCACAACGAAATCAACGAAATCAACGAAAACAATATCGGTTAAGTATTATAATAATAAAAATAAATTAAGTAAATGACAAAATAAGCACACAAAGCATCATAGCCCAATACAAAAATACCAAAAGCCCTCCATCTCTCTCTTGCTAATGTAACACTCACACTGGTGCATAATACAAATCCATCTAAACAACACCTCTCCATTAACGTTAAAGTCGTGAAATTGCACACCACCAAACAAACATACACACACACACATATATATATATATGTATATATGCGTGCATGCACAAGCCGCGACATCGTTTCTACACTGATTCTGACTCTTAACAAAGTCTCATAATGTGGCAGTGTTATAATATTTAATCCCCGACATGTCTATGTTGAACATAATACAAATTCCCGCATATCACCGCACTTAACGCTTGCTTTCACGTCGATGTATGTAAATGTGTTCCTTTGTCTAGATTTAATTATTAATTCTACTTTTGTACATTTTAAAGCCATTCGCTCCCTCACTCACCATAGCCTCAGTTTACCGCTGTGCTTCCTTATATACGAACACATATTTGCACATTTATTTCCCTGTTTGTTGTGAAAGTGTTTGTTATCAGCATTACATGAAAACTATTTTTTCCCAATATTATTATTATTTAACTTACGTTTATGTTATTGTTGCTACTTTAGTGAAATCGTATCCTAAATGCAGTAAACTGCACGTTTTTATTGTTATGCTTGATTATATTTGTTTTTTATATGTAAATCTGTTAAAATATTATTAACTTATTTATCATTTTTGTTTAGTTCAGATTTATAGCGCCTAATAAAAAGAAATTGAAGCAGCATTTGTTTATTATGTAAATAAAATTCATATATAAATTTAAAATTTAAATTAAAAAAACTTACATAAAACTGAAACTGAAATACAAATCAAAGAGACAATTAAAAAATTCAATATTTTCTTTCTATTTCCGTCTCTCTTCCGTTCGGTGGAACTTATTGCTTCTGTGAAAAAACGAAAAATTATTGGGAATTTTCTATACGCCCCGAAGTCGGTAATTATAGCATATGTAGAACACGTCCAGATCCAGGTGCAGATTACTTTCTTTGAAAATATTTACTGATCGACGTTTAGAGATCATTACAGAAAGGCCCCCATACTAATATAATTTTTGATATTATTGAACTAAGTCCTTCTACGTCATAAGAGATCGAATTGAGCTTTTCTTCTTTCGAACGCACAAGGCTTCAAAAATTTCAATGTATTCTTCTGCTGTCACATTGATCCAAAACTTACTATAACCATTTATCAGGGTTGACTAAAGTTACATAAAAATATACGTGGCTTTTATTCATTTAAATGCACGTCTATTCATGCTTCACGGAGAATTGCTCCCAGTCCACGTTTCAATAGTCAATGCTTCGTTCCAACATAGTTAGAAGTAGTTTCCAAACTAGTTTTCGAATTTGGAACGAACTGTCAAGCGGTACACGCATGCCTTAGTCCACATAAGTACCCGACCAGGTAAGAATTGCCGTTAACAAGTTAGTGTTCGCGAGTTCAAATCTGAGTTGCGCTAGAACTTTCTTTTTCTCATTCCGCATTTCTTTCTGATCGTCATCGTAAGGGCATCTCCTGAGTGGATTACTCATTCATTTTATACCCCATACAGCATTTTCGAAGACAGTTCTTATTTTTATCATAGAACACAAAAATTATGCTCTGCTTTTATAGGATAGGATCCAAAAAAATAGGCCGAGTTAGTCAAATTTTTTACAGTTAACTTTTGTATCTTAAGTATAGAAAATTAGACCTTTTTGTCATATGATTTACAATTTTCATTATATGAGAGGGGGTTCAAAATTTTTCCCAGCCGATCCCAAGTTTGCCGAAATACTACTACTAGCCACTTTTTTTGATAAATGTTGAGAATGGAAATATTTTTCCGTGAAACGACTTTTTAGAATAGGACATTATATGGGGACTGGCCGAAAAAGTGGAGTGATCCGTACCATTTTCAATATTCAATAGCGTTTTCCCTGGTGCCAAAGTACGTCACTATACCAAATTTCATCGAAATATCTCAAAAATCGGACGAACCACAGACCGGATTAGATCGATTTACTCACAAACTTAATATATATATACAAGTGGTGTAGAATATAATAAAAGGAATTTATTTTTATGAATAAAATATGCAGTGATAGATGCCATAAAAGTCCCCGGCGACATGATTTGATCTTACTGTTGTAGTAACTGAAAACCTACTAATTAAGTTCCATCTTCAAATTAACGTTTTTCGATAATCTCATACAATACATCTAACAAAGTTTGATCCCATAACTTTTTCGGTTAGTTACAATCAACTTGAGCTTAATTCTGTTGATGAGCATCATTAACTTTACTGCTATTGAGCTTGATTGCAAGATGAGCAGAGATCCGCCGACTCCGTTTCTAAATCGTATATCGTATGACCGATAGCGTAAATTAAACACAATACTCCATCTGTCAGTTTTTTTTTTTTTTTTTTTAGCCATCACCGAAGGATGAAGAGTAAATTCATTTTATTAAAACGCTTGCAGCACCCAAAAGGAAGCTTCAGAAAAGCCATAGAGTGTATATATTCTTGATCAAAAGGAAATTCTAAGGGGATCTAATAATGTCTGTCCGCTTATCTGTCTATGTGATATCAGTGGTAAGCACTCTTCTGGGCCGAAAAGTCTGCTTCACTTTTGGCATGCAGGACTGGAAGTTCTTGTACGTAAGTGGCTATTGAAAATAGGTCAATTTGGTCGAAAGACACGTTCAAGTGTTCAAAGAACGAGCCTACAACATCTATATTTCTCATTTTTTTCAACATTTTATAGGACAACAATGAAAAGCATAAAAGATTCTATCACAACCAAATATAATTCTCTTACGTGTTTTTTTTTTTAATTTAAATAAAAAATTTCTAGTAATTGGAGTTCTACGGTCTAATTATCTTGGTGAAAATAAATTATTTGTCGCTTTTATTTCTTAGTGAATATGAAGGAAAGCATTCAAACGGCGTTGATCTTGGTATCCGATCCAATGCTAGATGCATTATAGAGAGAAACATTTGCTTATACAAAACTTTGTAACAAAATAACTTTAAAAAAAACGGACTCGGATCGATTCGTCATTTCAAAATGGCTGATGCATTTTAATACGAAAGCACACGAGCGTGATTAAAGTCCACTACAAAGAGAAAAGTCGGATAAGTGAGGAGAGATTTATATTTTATAGCAATTAACCTAAACAAAAGGCATTGAAATCTCTAACCAGGCTTTCCCATTAAGGGGATTAGCCGGAGAAATAAAAAATAGTGTATTGAGAAATAAAAAATATGATTTCAAACATATACAAATATAAATAACATTTAATTTCAAAGCCTTTTTATAATTCATTGACATGTTGGATTTTCCGTTTTATCAGAAGATTTTCATCAAATTTTTATTAATCTCTTTTTAAATAATGCATTTTAACGCCAACTGCGCCAAATGTTTGTTTTTATCAGTTACATATAAACTGTGTGTGATACGGCTTAAAATCCAAGCAAACATAAACTTATTTCTTATTTATTGTTTAAATCAATTAAAATCCCAGAAAATAGCGAGTCTTGCATGAAGCCAATGTAGGCGATTGTTGACTTTCGTTATGTTAAAATTCAAAGTTCTATATCAAAATTTTTCTAAGATATGTGAATATGAAATTGTATGAATTATACGAAACTATTTCAATTCATTTCATTTTATCAAAAATTTTACATAATCTCGCCTTTAATTATGTTTGTGTGATTTTGTTATGAAAGTGCTTATTTGTTCGAATCGAAAAACTTTGTGAAAACGCAATAAAACTTTCCGCTTTAGTCGGAACTTTCAAGCAAATGGGATTTTGTAAGACTTTATCGGAATTGACAAACACGCACATCTTATCATCAAATCTTGGCATAACATGACTTAATAACTTTGGCGAAGCGTTGTAAGAAAACTTGGGCAACTTTTCGTTCATGATATACCGAAAAATTCCGTATGTGAATATTTGTTGTTGTCAGTGTATTCATTATAAATAAATTTCCAACTTTTGCAAATGGCCAAAGTTTTATTGTACTATACATATTTATAAATAATGTTCAAATTAGAAATAAATTATATTTATATCTTATACTTGCATCTTCTTCTTTTTCTTTGTTATTTATGATGTGCTTGGCATTCTTAGTTTCTTTTGTTATTACCTTAGAATATATTGTAAATCTGGCAACGATGTTTTAGGAAAAAGAAGAGGTAAATTTATATCCCGCCATTTTTTGCGAAATTACAAAAACTTCACAAAATCAAAACAATTAAGACATGTCTGTTCAAAGTATAGCTTTTTATTATTGTAAATAAATTTTTTGCAAAAAGTTTTAGTGAATAAAATGGGTATTAGTGGACTTATACCGTTTTTAGAGAAGGCCTCTACACCAATCAATATCAGAAAATTGTCCGGCTCTTCAGTAGCTGTGGATAGCTACTGCTGGTTACACAAAGGAGTTTACACTTGTGCCGAGAAGTTAATTAGAAGCGAAGAAACAGATTTATACTTGCGATATTGTCTTAAATATGTGGATTTGTTGTTGAATTTTGAGATTAAAGTAATTATGGTGTTTGATGGACGACATTTACCTGCTAAAGCCGAAACGGAGAAAAAACGCCGTGAAGCTCGTGAAGAGGCTAAGAAGTTAGCGAAGGAATATTTAAGATGTAACGAAATTGAAAAGGCCCGCTCTCATATGAGAAGAGCAATAGACGTTACGCATGAAATGGCTTGGCGGTTGATTAAAGCTTGTCGTGAAAGGGGTGTGGATTGCATAGTGGCCCCTTATGAGGCCGATGCTCAGATGGCTTGGCTAAATAAAACGCATATTGTGGAGTACATTATAACTGAAGATTCCGATTTGACGTTATTTGGAGCACAAAAAATTCTATTTAAATTGGATTTAAATGGTCATGCTTTACTGGTAGAGGCTGATAAATTCCATTTGGCCATGGGCTGTCGCGCAGAAAAATATACTTTTGACAAATTTCGGCGCATGTGTATTTTGTCGGGATGTGACTATTTAGACTCACTGCCAGGTATTGGCTTAAAAAAAGCATGCAAGTTTATGTTAATTACTGAGGAAGATAATGTAAGCCGGGCTCTTAAAAAATTGCCACAATATTTGAATATGAAAAAACTGGAGGTAAATGAAGAATATATCGATAGCTTTCTCAAAGCTGAAGCGACGTTTCGGCATATGTTCATTTATAATCCTTTGGCAAGGAGAATGCAAAGACTAAATGACTTACAAGATTTTAATAGCTTGGAAAGTTATTGCGTAAATGCCGGCTCATTGCTCGATGATGAAAAAGCCTTTCAATTAGCCTTAGGTAATTTAAATCCTTTTACTTTAGAACAAATCGACAATTGGAGGCCGGAAAATAGTTGGGCAGAGGCCGTCAACAAAAGCAAAACGCCAAGTAGACGTTTAAAAAGCAGATCGCAAAGAAGCATATGGCTACAGAAGGATTTCGAGGAAAGCCACGAGGTAGAGAAATGTAAGCCTTCAGTTAGCTTAGATTTCAAAAACATAGAGTACAAAAATATGACAGAAGCTGAATCACAGCAACAACAATTAGAAGAAAATGCTAAACTAGACGAGTCCGAATTGAATTCGATGTATAAATATGCGTCCCGTTGCGAGAAATTTAAACGTAAAAGGGACCTGAGAGGCACTAATGATGGTAACGAAATCTTTGACAATGGAAGAGATCCAAAAAAAGCGGCAAGCGAATGCGCGCATAATCCGTTCGCCAGAATTAGAAAATCTTCGGAAACGAATTTCGTTAAAGAGCCGGTGTGTTCCAATAATTCTTTGCTAAAGGTATTAAGTCCCAAGGTACGCGTTGAGACCAACGTACAAGTGAAGTCGCGTTTTTTTTCAAATAATCATAAAGAAGTAAACAAACAACTCCTCGTTGTTAATGATTTGAATGAAGAAATGCAAAAAATTGAAGAGCAATGCAAAAATTTATGGAAAGAACAGCAACAGCTTTATCAAAGTTCGCCTCCCAAAGCTATAAATGATAAAGGGACGTGTGAAAATGAGAGAGAAGATGTCGAGTGTGGGTCGTTTGATAATGATAATAAAGAGAAAGACGAAAGCGAGGAAGACTTATATTACACGAGCACCCAATCATCCACATCAAGCTTCCTTTCTAGCGTTTCCGGTCAAAAGGAAGAAATCGTGATATCCGATAATGAGAGAGAGAATCATATTGCGCCTAATGTCAAGAAGCAAAATTTCTTAAATAACGCCCGACATTTGGGTCTAAAAAAACCCAAGAAACTGAATTCAACATCAGCCAATAAAATTCGAATTCAAAATGACGTTAAGCAACCCAGTCTAGCTAACTTTGGCTTTCAAAGACGTCCCAGATTGAAGAAAACTTAATTGCATTTATACATCATCATAGTTGGTCTTGTTTATCATATAATGTTGCCCTTTTTTGTTTTATGTAAGTAAAAGTTTTTTAAACACAGTAATAAGAAAATAAAGAAATATAAAAAGTGAAATCATTACTTGTTCGTTTAATAAGCCATCAAAAGAGCTATTGTCGTTGAGTGTGATCAGCCTTGTCCTCTCCTTTGAATAGGATGCGGAATATCTGGAGATTGTTTGGATTAACAATTTAGTTAATAAAGTAAAGAACGGAACGTACATCAGAAGCTTTATTTTATATGAAATAATTATCGCTGCATGTTTTCCCATCTTTCATATAATTATGTTGCATCACCTCGAGCGAACTTGGTTTAGTTGAACGCAAACCACTTCCAATTGTTATTTTCAATTTCCTCCTCCTCCTTCTTTTGCTGGAAAAGAATGTGTGCTATTTATGCAAAGTTAATGGAGCGACGTCCCCTGAGCAGCGGATAAGATTATACCTAATTTGGAAATTGGGTTGCATTTCTCGCTATTTCTTCTCCTTTCATCTAATCAAAGTAATAATAAAGATCATCAGCATCAAGTCCTTACAAACAGTTCAGTTTGGGGCGAAGAGTGAACTTTTTTCTCTATATAGCTGATTATTGCTTTCACTAAGTTGAAGTTAGAACCCTTAGCAATATAAATTGACCTGAACGTTAGGTAAATTGAAATTTCTCTTAATACCAAATCTTATTCTATTCTTCTGTAAATCAGCAAATCAACAACAAAGAGAAAGATCCCGTGATAAAAGAAAGTGAGGCCGGATGATTCTCTCTCTTGGGTAATATATTATTAGATGTAAAATTGGCGAGTAAACGAAATCTTTCGGCATAACAAATCTACTTTAGAACGTTCAGTAATTTTACTGGAGATTTCTTTCAATTAACTACTTTGTACTACTGCCTTGTAGAAGAAGTAAAAGAAAACCGCCGATAAGAACAATCGTGTGGCGGCTGGTAAAATCAAATAATATCGTGAGAATTTATTTAAATTTATTTAACAGGATAAAAATGCTGTTTGCACTTTATAGACAATTCATTCGTTTTGGAACAATGTCTGTAATAAATTTATTTCTTCACACAAACGTGCTCTGTTCTGTGTATTTGCTAAAACAATTTTATGTCTCATTCACAATAATCTTGAGGCTGTTACATTGTCTGTGCTACATGCTTGTCCGATGTTTTTCAAAGCAGTTATGAAAGCAAACTATTCACAATATCCGTATATGCCGTATAGACAAGTTTTGGTTCTCGTCTTTGCTGAATGCATGTTTTAGCTAAACTTAAAAATAAACTTCAGTCGTATAAAAAACGTGAAAAAGAAATATATAACGTATAACGTATTGTTTACCTCAGAGATGTGTACATATGTATATATATATATATATATATATATATATATATAGGTTGTTTGAGAAAAAAGTGTGGGATAAGTACACACATGTTTTCATTTAGAAATAGTAGGCACTAACTGTAGTAACTATATATATATTTTCTATACTGCGTTCACAAAGCCAATCTCACTATTATGCTATACTCTGACCATATATTTATTTCAGAAATGACGCAGGCGATGTATTGAATTTGTCAAATATTTTTGACGAGTTGAAAAATGCAGGAGAACACGCCTTCGATTCAAAATCACTTGCTGTCCGTCTGTCCGAATGACTGTCTTGTGTTTAGACTGGAAGCCGCAATTTTTGCAATGTTTTGATGAAATTCTGTACACTGAACACTGAATGGGTATTAGAAATGGTTCGGGTCGGTTGGCTTTTTCGGCCAAAAGTTCATTTAAATTAATTTTTGTTGCTTTTTTGTTTTCTAATGAAAATAGTTTATTAATGCAGGCCGATATCTTGCTGAAATGATTTGAATTGTTTGCGCTCCGCAAAAATAAAGTCCAATTATGCTGCCATGCTATGAACAAGAGCAAACAGTTATTTTTAAGGGTGAGGACAAACATATCGCTCACGTGCAAACTCTGAAACTTCTGGTCAATGAATGCAAAAAATTTTGTTTGTTCATGTAGCCGCAAACGTGAAAAAAAATGATTTTCATTGGTAAAGATGATGTTGAGTGAAAAATAAAATGGAATGGTTAAGCACGATTACGTAAATGGTTCAATGATTTCGTTTGTTGAGTTCTATAGAATTTGTAATTAGCGTCAAAACCTTTACTTCTTTCTCGCTTCAATAGAACTAATCTGTCAGCTAAGATCAATTGAACTGAACACTGTAGTTGGAAACGGCTCAACATGAAATGCCCTACACCACGCAACAGTTATTCATATAACGACTTTTTAAAATAAGTTATTATAAGGGAAGGGGTCGAAAGAGTGATCGTAACCGAAGCAGTTTCAATAGCTTTCGCTCTTGGGTTAAAAAATGTCAATGTGCCAGATATCATTAGAATGCTTTAAAAATTGCGATCTGTCGATTGAACATAAGAAAACAAGACGCATAGACGGACAGACACGCTTAGCTCGATCCAGAAAATGATTCTCCACAACTCTGAATAGTACGATAAACAAAAGTGAGCTGTATCTAAACTTCTGTCAAGCTCTCCTACACCAAATGGATTTCTGGAAAAAAAATTTCTCGCACAGCGACTATTGTTAGTCGTAAGTTAAAGTTACTCATATGTTTTGTACCGAACACGAGTAATACGGAAAGCGTCCACAAAACTATAAAAGAATGGTAACGAATTCCAGCATTACGTCGTACTTTTTGATATCTCTGTTATCACAGTAATACACAGTTAGAAGTCGTAGGTTAGCACAAATTTAAGCACTTGCTCTTTCACTCTCGCTAGTCGTGTGACCACGAATTCTGTCAAAGCTATTAAACGGAGCCAAACCTTTGTGTAGCTTATGTAAATGTGTATAATCTCCAGAGGGATGTAAGATAGATCCCTCTTTCATTATAATCATGGATTCAAAATTATTTTCCGTGTGGACTTAAATTTGCCCATCTGCTTAGGTATTTTGACCTAAGGATGAATGGCTTTGAAAATTAATTGCATCGAATAATTTTTGTGGCCATTTGCCAATGGATAACTATATGGTGCGAAAAGCCGAATTTCACGGGAATAATCGTTGAGTAGCAGTATTTCGGGCGGCTAACGGCAGACAAGTGTGATATTTAGATTGGAAGCGCCGATCGGATCCATTTGAGCGATTCGAAATCATTACTTTACAAATTGTTCTAGCAGGGTTGCAGTCTGGTGTACCACTGAAGAAATTTATCAAGATTAACAGCAGTCCGGCTACACTTTGGCTTGCCTCCTCAAAAAGGCTAATAACTTTTTAGTTCTCTATCACAACGTTAGTAGTCCGAATACTGAGCCCTAAAGCGCTTATGCCAATAGCTCTATCTGCGTTTTTCAAATAAAGTTTATCGTTTAATTTTGATATCGGAACTGAGCAGTACAATCGAGGACTCTCTACCTCGAAGTCTTTAGTTCGGCAAGCAAATGATTGCCAAACTTTATTTGCTTGTGCCGGTCTACTAGTGCTGGTCGTGAGACGTTATCTGTTTCAAGCTGCTACAAACTTTTTTTTGCTCCTCTCTTTCTCTTTCAGTTTTGTTTGTTTATTTGTTTATGTTTATGATTTATCGTTATTTTCCCTATCCTAATTAATTTGATTTTATATAGAATACATCTGCATATATTTATATATAAGTAAATAGATAGCAATCTCCCTAACTGATGAGATGTGGATCATGTAGATGCACTTTTTGGACCCCATTAAGGGTGAGGGTTTTCGCGAAAAATAAATCTTTACATGGAGGAAACAGAGTACAATTTTTATATATTATATATTATCGCGAAAATAACTGTAAAATTGTATTTAGGTGAAAGAGTGTAGAATGTTTAAAGGTCGGCCTTGGCCGACTTTCATATCTTTATATAAATTCCCATTTTATACTATAAAAATGAAAAGGATCGACCACGCCCAGCCGACATTATAAAGCATGAAAATTTTACTTTCTTCCATTTCTTTAGTCTCTTTGAGTGTAACGGTGACGACGGGCATAAAGAATTCGGTCGCGGCCGAACATAATTCATCTTATTTGTTTTTCCTTTGGAAATGAAAAAAAAAGCGAACTTCCATAGGCCGGAAGAAATTTTTCACTAAAATTTATTGAAATATCTAACGAAGAGTGAAATTTGGAAATCTTCGATGTGACTTGATATAAATGATGGAACGAAAACAAATTACATTTGCTTTTTTTTTTGTGCATTTGCTTTGTCGAAGATATATACATATGTACGTACACCATAGCGTATACGCACTTAAAAATGCTTTTGCTCTGTAAATACTTGATAGAATGTGACGTTGTGCGACGAAACTTTTAACAGAATTTTCGCTGCTTGCAACGAGAAAACATGTAATCGAGTCTAACAGCGCCACTTCTGTTACGTATATCCGGGTATATGTGAGAAAGTATGTTAGTTAAGAATTTGTTACAAGTTTCAAATGTTGTTGTCGATTCTTGTTATACACATACATACTTGTATTACTTCTCACTGAATGTAGCTGATGTTAAAGAAAAGACATTTGCACGCGGCACACGTGCTGTCTGTTACCCGAATCCAAAATTAAAAGTAATAATATTCAGGGTCGATTAAATGGTCGACCAAATGACAATACGCTCGTTATATCGCACTCTATTTACTGTGTCTGTCTGTGTTACTCAATATTATAAACGGCAAAAACAGATAAACGTATCGTCATCCTTTATTAATGGCTATATTTACATTACATATATAGCGGAGGATAACAATGACAAAACAATGGAAAATGAATATAAATGTTAGCTATTTAATGCGACAACCGAAAAGAAATACGCGCACATTGTGCCAGATGATATATTTATATGTATATATATATTGTTGTTGTTATTGTTGTTATTGTTGTTATTGTTAAACACAATATATATACGCACTGCTCAGGTGTAGGGAAAAATATTTATATAATGCATCAATTGATAGCTTCCGCTATGATTTTCATTTTTTATTTGCAACGG